TTTAATAAACATGAGGGTTATGAGGGGGTCCCTGAAACTTGTTCTCCCCTGTAAGGGGTTCCTGAATCCAAAAAGTTTGAGAACCCCTGCTCTATAGGACAGATTAGAGCTTTAATTTATTAAGACTGACTGTGATACAAATACATTAGTTGAAGTACTTTCAGGTATTTGCCCTCCATTTCATATTTGTTGAGTACTGTAGTTGTGGTTTCTGTACTGTGGACTCACATCTCAGTTTAGTCAAACTGTGGCTAAACTGGTGTCTTGTGTTTTTATTTCTCAAGTCCTTACAAATTTCACATAGCAACTTTTCTTAATGTTACAAAACTCAAGACAAGACAGACTGAAGAAGTCTTTTGGATAAAAGATGAAACGTTTCAACAAAGAAGAATCCATCCAGAGGACCTGACTCAACCTTGTTAGATTGAGACAAGACTGTATTTTTTATATATGCATATATATGACATTACACATCAAACAAACGTTTCTAATAAGCCACTCTCCAGAGTTCTTTCCCTCTCTGATCAAACTTTTGTCACACGAACAGTCTGGATGTTCTTTCAGCCTGCGTCCACTCACAAAGCCACAACACAAGTCCAGCCGCTCTGGCGTTTTTTCTCTTCTAGGAATCAAAGGAAATTATGTAGAAGTTGGGGAGGGACTAAAAATGTGTCCAGTGTGAGAAGAGTTCACTGTAATCGAGCCAAACCTCCATTACTCCTCCACTAAATACTGATGGGAGGGAACGGGGGAGAGACCTGAACGGAAGAGAAAACGTCAACCAGAGGGATTAGCCGAGTTTATAGAAAAAAAGAATTGACAGAGCAAAAGAAGAGGCAGAGAGGAAACAAAGGTCACTGCTGGTGAAACATTTACCTGAGCAATAAGCTGTGCACTCTCACACATATGTTGTAAGGGCTTTACAGTGACAGCCTGTACTAATCCTGTTGTGACACGCAATTTTGTTAGTACTGCAGTGAACGATGGGTTGACCTTAGACATGCTGCCCCCGACTGATCTGCACTACAAGTGTCCAAGCAGCCATGGTCAATAGTAGGTGATGCCTCTGCTTCAATAACCTGTGATGCTGTACAAAACTCTACACTTGGCTTCTTAAAATAAAAAAAACACTTTTTACTCTTTCCTCCTAAGACATAAATGTCAACCTGCAACGTTTTGATAATGGCATGTTTTTTCCTCATAAGGGAAAAATTATCCTAACAAACATCGTCTAAAATGTAGTTAGCAAATGACCAAATTATGCAGATTAGAGATGTTCAGAGCGATTGGCCACCGATCACGATTGGCCGATTTCTATTAAAAAGTATGATCAGCTGGTACCGATCAATACCGATCACAAAACCTGAAGACCTTCGCAGCCTGCAGAAGTCTGCTGGTAGATACTGGATATTTAGAGACTGGTTCAAATCATATCTCTCTGACTGCACTCAATTCATTCAGCTCAAATCCTTTCGTTCCCAGTCTTCCCCCGTCTCCACGGGTGTCCCCCAAGGCTCTGTCCTCGGACCCCTCCTCTTCATCATTTACCTCCTTCCTCTAGGTCACATCTTCCGTAAATTTGGTGTCCATTTTCACTGTTATGCTGATGACACACAGCTCTACCTATCAACAAAACCAAACTCCACCCACCCACCCACCCTCCATCCTCACCGACTGTCTCAATGAGCTAAATCACTGGTTTTCTAACAACTTTCTACAACTAAACAGTAACAAAACAGAAATCATTCTTGTCGGTACCAAAAACTCTCTTTCAAAATCAGAAAATCTTCTCATCCTCCTTAACAACTCCCTGTTATCCCCCTTGCCTCAGGTCAAGAGTCTTGGTGTCATCCTCGACACCACTCTCTCCTTCACTTCACACATCAACAACGTCACTCGGTCTGCCTATTTCCATCTCCAAAATATTAACAGTCTCCGCCCTTCTCTCACACCCCGCTCCACAGCCATCCTTGTTCACAGTCTTGTGACTTCTCGGATTGACTACTGCAACTCCCTTCTTTATGGCCTCCCCAACAAATCTCTCCAGAAGCTACAATTGGTCCAGAACTCAGCTGCCCGTGTCATCACTCAAACTTCCTCCTATAACCACATCACTCTGGTCCTGCAGCAGCTCCACTGGCTCCCGGTTAAATCACGCATCGTCTTCAAAATTCTTCTTCTCACTTTCAAAGCTATCCACAACCTTGCCCCTCCGTACCTATCTGACCTCCTACACATCTCCATCCCCTCTCGCTCTCTCAGATCCTCCTCTTCACTACACCTCCATGTACCCTCTGCCCGCCTCTCCACCATGGGGAGCAGGGCCTTCACCTGCTCTGACCCTCATCTCTGGAACTCTCTACCCCCTGACTCAAGAAACACCACCTCTCTTTCTATATTCATGACTGCTCTGAAAACACATCTCTTTAGACTCGCTTATCCTTAACTCTGCTGTATGTATTTTATATTCTTTACGCATTTTATATTCTGTATGTATTTTATATTCTTTATGTATTTTATATTCTGTATGTATTTTATATTCTTTATGTATTTTATATTCTGTATGTATTTTATATTCTTTATTCCTGTTGATCTTTGTTCTTACTGTAAAGTGTCCTTGGGTGTCATGAAAGGCGCTTTTTAAATAAAATTATTATTATTATTATTATTATTATTTAAGCAATGTTTTGAGATGCATTTGACTTTCTGCACTATGAGAGCCTTAATGTTTTCAGTTAAAGATTGTGTTACTGATAGGTACATTTGTTCAGTTGTCCTTTTGACTGAATAGTTGCTGTAGTGTTCCTGCATGTTGGTTTTTTAAATATTTTTTCTCTTGAAAAAGTGAATAAAACAGATGAAGACTTACGCTACAGGTGCATCTAAAAAAAATTGAATATTGTGAAAAAACTATTTTTAGTAAAACATTTCTGAAAATGAATTCATTTACACTGACTCAGACAATTTAGTTTTTTCCATTATCTGTAAGCCATAATCATCAAAATGACAAGAAATAAAGGCTTGAAATGTGTCACTATGTACATAAGTTGTGCTTAAACAGAAAACTGCCAGCTGTTAAATCTGACAGCCTTTAAACAAAAAGTATTTATTGTTTCAAGACTGACCCACTCAAAACACATAGTTCTAAAAACAACTGCAGAAAAAACAAGCCAGCGTAGCTTAGACAGCAAAGAGGTTTGTTCAGTGAAAGGTCGCATGTGCATGTTTCACAATAAAAAATAATAATAATAATGTGTTATGTATTGTCATCATTGTATGTTCCCATACAATGGTGAAATTGTGTCTGCATTAACCCATCCACCCCCAGGTGGGACAGTGGGTGGCTATTGGGGGCACCAGGGAGCAATTGGGGATAGGGTGTGCTGCTCAGAGACACCACGAGATGTGCAATGACTGGGGATCGAGCCTGGGACTGTCGGGTCCCAAGTTGGCTGCCCTGCCTCTACCCCATCTCGGTCCTCACTAAAATCCATATGAATAAAACGACGTCCTTCAGAAAAGGAAAGTGATGAGCAGTGCTTGTTCAGGGCGTTCACATGGGACTTGTTTTACAAAGTAGAGCTTGAAGCTTGTGTTTGTGTAAAACAAACTACTTTTTTTTTTTTGTAAAGTCAGATGAAAACTTACGGCGTGTCAAGCTTCTTAAACTCAGGAATGGGCTCTGGCTTCTTGCGAGACATGAACCAGTAAATGACGAGGCCGACGATGAGGGAGAAGAGGAAGAGGTCCAGGTTGCTGAAGAGAGCCTCCTCATCTCCTGCACGGTCTGTGTCAGTGATGGTGTCAGGGTCCATGTCTGCCGCGTTGACACACTGTGCTGGACTGGGGACGAAAAAAACAGTTTACATTTAGATTAGAAAGCATTTATTAAAAATGACTTTTTAAAACAACTTGTTATGTTCAAGTTTTACAGAGTTCCTGCACTAAACGTGTGAAGCTACAGAACATGAACGGTGTCACGTGACTTCTATACATGACACAAAGGTTTGTGCGCGCACGCGTTATTAAACCATTTGCTTAACATAATAGAACATTGTAACCCGCTGCTTTATGCAAGTGAGGAATTTCTTTTCACTCCGAGCACGAGAAGACATGATGTCCTGAACACTCGGGCTCCAGTTCGGTTCCAAGATGGGGAGACAACGAGAGCATAATGCCACAATTTGTCCTGATCACTACTTCAGAATGTGACACAGCAACTCGAAACGCTCACTCTGCAAAGTGCTGACATGCACGCCTGTAATAAACAGACCACTTCAGGAGTTACTGGGTGCAAACTTCAGTAAGAACAGAAGCCACGGTGACTCTGAGTTACACAATAAAAACTGATCATGGCAGGAAACACCTTGGCATTTCTACAAAGAATAGCTGGAATTTTCTAGTAGAGGATGAACAAGAACATTTTTTTTCAGCCTGGATTATGTTCAGACATGACAACAGCTGACAAAAGAATATTGTATATTTTAATGCACTAACAGCTTACAACAAGATAGTTTTACCAGGCAGACTTGTTTAAAACTCAATAATAAAATTAGAGTAGTGTGCTAAAGTATTTAGCCACTTCTAATTGATTTATATTTTGCTTCCTAGCAGCCAGGCTTTTTGTAAACTTTTAAAAATGTCTTGAGCTGTGTTTTTTCTCTGCAGGCTTTCAGAAGGTCTTAATTTCTTTTTAACTGGCTGCTTTTCATTCTTTTTCTGTTCAGTCCTTGTAGCTTGGAGAAGGGGTGGTTACATCACAAATAACAAGATACAGGGCTGAAGGAGCCTTCATAAAAAACGAGTAAAGCCTGAATATTGAATAGACTCTTTTCCCTCTCCTCTAGATTGTAGGTGGATTCTAGGTTCACCCTGATTTATTGTTTTATACGCTACTCTTAGTTTAACTGCATTTTTTACTGTATTTAATTGTTATTTACTGTTTTGTTATCTGCACTTTATATGTTCTGTCTGGAACAGGTCCCTCTTGCAAATGAGTCCCCGTGGCTCAGTGAGACTAGCCTGTATAAATAAAGGTTGAATGAATGGGTAAACTGTAAATAGTGATTTGGTTTTTTTTTTTTATCTGTTGAAGACCCAGTTAGGATTAAAGCTTAGTCCATCCAATCAGACCTGTAGTGAAGAATAAATGCGACGGAGCAGGACAGCACATTGTGCAGCGTGTTTAAAGGAATGAAGTGAGCAAACAGTGACAGCCTTAAAAACTTTCTTCAAGAGATGAGCAGAATCTGAAAGTCAAGTCTTTAATAAAAATAAGGACAAATTACTAAAAACCTGACTTCATCCCTCAGTTGATTATTTGCCGAGGGACAAATTTGAGCAAATAACTGAACAAATCACTACGCTGGCGCTTCAATGCTACTTCATGTGACAAATGGTTTTATCTTTGGTATTTTCCAAAGGTTCAACTGGAAGTAAACCTGCCAAACCCACTGAATCCTTCAACATTTGCCATTTTCTTTCACATGATCAGCTGTCTGCAATGATACCAAAGTTCATGCTCAATAATCCAGGTACAAATCCAACAATGTTCATTCAGGTCATCTGGACGGTTTCTTTTTTTGATGAGATGTTTCATCCTTCATCCAAAGGACTTCTTCTGTCCGAGGAGCCACAAACAAACTGGAGTCTCACAAGTATCACACTCCCCACACGAAACATCTCAGAAACCGTTCAGATGACCTGAACATTGTCGGCCATGATGCTCCACCTAACCGATAAGGTAGGAAAGGAACGACGCAGCAACAACCACTACTGTAGCCCAGGATTCATTTTTAAAAAGAAAATGTCTCCTACAGACATTTTGTGTCCAAGTCCATTTAAACAGTAGCCAAATCCATTAAAATAATCTTCATATAAAAAAGCCTGAGGAACTACGCTTCAAAATCAGGACAGCAGGTGAAAACATTTTTACTTGGAAGCAAGATACACAGCAGTAACAACTGTTTAAAGACTTTTGCACAAGCCAGTATTGTAGAAGTGGAAGCTTTTGTTATATTGATAGATCTTAAACTTTGCCTTCAGTCATTAATCATGTAATCACATGTAATTAATGACACGTCATAAGATAAGTCAGCCCATCCTGGATGGCTAATCATAAATCAGTATCAGCATCACGTCTGATAGGTGGCGTCATAAACTCTTTTTAAACGAACAAAGGACTGCAAAAATTTATGTTATCACTTTATCTTTAGAACAAAAGTGTTAAATACGATCAAATGTTAACATTCAGTTTCACCTTTTACAATAAAATGGCAGATTGTTGACCCAAAAATTCTGTATTTTTTTTGCCTCCCTTGTTAAACAACAAATTGAACCCTGCCTTCATGAGATGCATTCGTTTTGTTTGCTACCTCTTTCATTCAGCTGCTCCCTTCTTCAGACTCACCAAACTCGCCAAAAGTCTCGCTGTTCTTTTAAAACATTTCTAAATATCTAACCGGGAATACTGCAATCCAGTGGAAAGCAGCTTGTAGTTATTGCTTGTTGCCAAAGGGGGACAAACATGTTTTTGCTCATGTCTCTGTCTGTCAATGGATGTTCATCTACAGATGTTTATCTTCTGAAGTTAAACCCCAATCAAGATGGCTGCCACAGATAACAGATTTTTTTAAAACACAGAAAAAGCCTATAACTTAATCAGTGCTGCAGATAAGAGTAAAAATTTGAATTAGTAGTAGCTGAAAGTCACATATTTTGAGCGTGACATTTTAGAGACATTGCATGAAATCACATTTTCCCCCCCAAAGTTTTTTCAAAACAGCTTCAACTTGATTTCTCAGCACGAGTCTAAAACACGTGTCAATACATTCAACGGGCGATATGCATTCCTTCAATGAATACTAAGTGTTCACTTAAAACAAGGTCTCCTGCAAATTCTGAGAACAAAGTATTAGGCTGAAGTGTTGGCATCCAACCAAGGACAGGTAGTAGCATTAAACACCACCGAGTACTCAAAACTAACATAATTCTGCTTATTACTAAACGCTCTGTACTGCTTGGTGATGTCCCCACAGGATCAGTTGTCCCCACAGGACCAGTTGTCCCCACAGGACCAGTTGTCCCCACAGAACCAGCATCTAAGTTCAGTGTGTGCCATGGCAACACAAAAAGACAGGTAATGTTTTAACAGGTTTCATATATGGCAACTTGTCCTTTTGTTTTTCCATTACACACATCATACCAGATAGATCAGTTATATATATATATATATATATATATAT